AGTTAATTGTCAAACTAGGTTGTCATGTCACATAAGTTTTTAAGCTAATTGTCATTTTAGCTTCAATGGCTAGCTAATAGCTTACCATTTATATGGACCACACATCCTTAATTTACATTGATAAATTTCATTTTATTTATTCTAATTTGTTTTATTTTAACAAGTTTTTTTCCAATCAAATTAGCTCACCAAGCAAACAGCATTTTTTTGATACTTGATGTTTTGAAACGCATTTGACAAGATCCGAATTAATAGTTTTTAGATTTTGACAAAATATTGTGGTCAAAATAAATTTTATTGTAAATTCTTATTTGCAAAATAGAATTAGTGTCTTAAATTATCCAATTCATGCACTTTTTTACTTTTCAATGACAAAGGTAGTGGGGTAGTAACCAGGTGACTCAAGTGATAGGCACTCCCACAAGTACCTCATGCCCTAGATTTGGTATTAATACTTCATCCAAGCAAGTGGAGGTGTGTAGGGGAGAAGAAAGGTGTGCTAAGCAATGTCCACATTGCCAATATCAAAGACTTGACGTTCGATCATACAATTCAGAAGAGGGGCAAAAGTGCTCCCTGACCATGTTCAAAATCATTGAGTATTTGTGCGTCTTTGACAAGGGAAAAACACACCATTGTCACAATTTCACAAAGCCTAGTTCAAGTTCATGATCATAATTCTGATTATACTAGTCAAGTACATAAAACATAAGGAAATGTCAAGTCGATAACCCAACAGCATTATTTAGTTTCTGTTGACATGTACTTCGTAGAAAAAGGACAGCCAGATAACGAGTCTCCTGCTTCTACTGATATTACAAATCTGTGTCTTAGCCAGGGGGCCAGTTCATTTGACGTCCTCCAAGTAGGTGCACGTGGATGTGATAAACAGATTGACCTGATGAACAAAGCATTAAAGCTTGTTAGAGCTGAAATTAAGTTGAAATGTAGAGTTTATGTGCTAAGCTTAACTTACATCCTTTTGGACCATCATTAATCACTATCCTGAAGCCATCGTCAAGTCCTTCCTGCTTTGCTACAAGCTTTGCTGTGTAAAGAAGGCGGCCAAGAATTTCGCAGTGCCTTTCCTCAGCCTATGCACAGATAAATTATCAGGACAGCCTGTGAATATTGCGGAAAAATCTAATATAAACTGTGTTTTCACTCATCCTAATGTCTACTAATCAATGCAATAATGTCCACATCATAACATCTGCTGGACCATGTTTCATACATAAACCATTACATTTGTATTAAAAGCATATGGTCATACCACCATACAGATATATTTCGATAGTTGTGAAATAATAAGCAACATGGGTTAGCAAGATGATTAATTCCCCATTAATATGATCAAGCACACCTTAAGTTGACCTGTTCACACATCTTTCCATGTCTAACCAGGTAGGTACATAAGAAAGGTTCCACAAGATATGTGGCACTCTGGAACTCCATATTTCCCCAAAAGCCTCCTTTTCTTAATACTGCCTTCCTCTTTTATACTTGTATGTATCTTAGCAAGAGAACATAAGATAAACGGAACCAAATTGGAATTCTTTACACAATTACACTGAGAAAAACTCTCAAATATTTGGAGAGACTACTATATGCATCTCTCTCTTAATAGTTTCTCTTTCTCAGATGTCTCCTACAAAAAACACTCCAGTCAAGTTAAGAGGTTTAGGCTAGGACTCAATGGAAAATCAAAACTCATGAGTCACCAATGTGCATTCGAAATGTGTTAAGCCGCGGCAACTCAGCTCTCGGCATAACTAATTGACTGTGCACATAGTTATTATACTACCAACCTTCAATCACAAAAAACAAGGAAATATCTGATCACATGGCCATAGCAAAATTAGGAACTCTATAGATGCTGTTGGAAAGAAGCATCGATACATTACAAGCACAAGACACAAGGACAATATAATAAAACCTAAAAATCTGTTCACTCCATTGGAAACAAAGCAAGTATCTAGCATACAGATAAGATAGATACATTGAACAGCAGTACAATGTGGAATGACGAAGTAATAAGTACCTTGGAGAGTCCACTTAACCCATCCTTAACCTTGGGAATGAGAACAATGTGAACCGGAGCTTGTGGGTTTATGTCCCTAAAAGCAATAACCTACATGATAGCAAATTGAAGGTTAAAAACAATTAAGTGGGTGAATTGTAGGAAACAATTATAAACATCACACTACCTAGCACATATCTTACAGCCAAAACTAAAGATATAAAATGAAAGAATAAAATATCACACTAATGGAAATGAGATCCTCACTAAGCTCAAACAAAATGAATGTTGTTAATCGCAATGAAATACGCCTTGACCCATGCGGGACTTAAAGAACCAACTTTGACACAAGCATAAAGATTCAATTGGGACATAAATGCATATTAGAACATAATGAGGGAAAGGCAAAATCAATTTTGGAAATAGGATCCACATAATTAAATCAAAGAACAATATGATGATGACAGTAAATGGAACTCCAATGAAGGGGCCTAAAATACATCTTAAGTTTAATATGAGTTTTGAAGTTTATGAATTACAAGTTAAAACATGGTCATTTAAGAAAACCAACAAGAATAATGTCAAAATTCCAACAACCAATGCTAATAAACACAAATATAAACAATGAATAAGATAAATGGCATGATCACATTGGATGATTCATTACAACACTTTTTGATTCGTAATATCAGTACCTGTTCGTCCTCAAACACAATATTGGCAGGAATTTCCTTGCTGATAATCTTGTCAAATCTACATCATCAAACAAATATCATAGCTTTTAAACTCAACCAATACAGAGATGAAAAAATGCAAATGCGAAATCATGTTAACATTCATATTTTTAAGGCTACAATGCTACATATATATACAATTGCATTCATTTCTTCCAAATACTCCATAAAGTCAACCCAACATTGAAAAGGTGTTAAATTTAACATTCATCATTGATTAAAATGACAAAATTCTTATAACAATCAGCTAGAGTTATTTTCAATTCTTGTTATTACTAGTTCTTTATATATCAACAGAATGATCAAAAGCAACAACAATCAAAACTCAAAAACCCCAATTCACACAGGAAAACCCTAATCCCAACAAACTTAACCAATCTTACAAATCACCCCAAATCAATCCATAATTCCACAAAACAATAGGGCAAAATTAGGGTATTGTGCATCAATCTTAACACAATAAAACTTGATTAAAAATGAGAAAATGAATTGAAAAATTTACAAGAGTGAGAAGTAAAGGAGAAGGAAGTTACATGGTGGGAGAATCGAGGGGAGTAGAAGCAGCAGCGAGAGCAGCTTCCTTCTCGGAAGCCATTGAAGAAGAAGAGGGAAGAAAGTGTGAGGCTAACACTTGAATGCGACTTGTTTTGTGGGGTTTTGATTTTATAACGGCCTCGATCATTGCACCATCTCTGCCGACCATCTACTTGTACAACCATTCTTCTAGGAGATGCCACGCTATCTTTTTATGGTCTAAGATTTTTTAAGACGAATAATAGGTTATACATCCAATTTTGATTTACTGAAATGAAATGATTGAAACTGAACTGATTCGAGGTGAACTAAATTAAAATGAATTCTTTAACAGAGAAAGAAATTAGAAATGAGCTGAACTGAAATGATTGAAACTGAACTGATTCGAGCTAAACTAAACTAAAATGAATTCTTTAATAGAGAAAGAAATTAGAAATGAGCTGAACTGAAATGATTGAAACTGAACTGATTCGAGCTAAACTAAACTAAAATGAATTCTTTAAGAGAGAAAGAAATTAGAACTGAACTGAACTGAAATTAAGCTGAAGATAATATGCTTTTGGGCTCAGGCGTAACCGAATTATTTTTACTTGGGAGTATTATATTACTCCATATAATGTTTTATACATGTGAGAAAAATTAAACAATGAATATTAAGTCATTTTAACAAGGAATTTTCAATATGTTATGTTTATTAATTGAAGTATTGCAAATAACAAAATTATACAACACATATATATATCATCAAAAGTAAATCATATTAACAACCACACATGTGGTATCATTTGATGATTTTGCAAAAGGGTTGAATATTGCTACAATATAATTGCTTTAAACATTTATAAAAACAATTATGTGTTTGTAATTTTGTATGTAATAACTAACAAAGGCGAACCAATTTCCTAACCACTTCATCACACAATAAATTTCCCTCTCATTTTCTTTCCAAAAAAAAAAAAAAAAAAAAAAAAAACTATCAAACACTTTCATTCACATCTCATTTGTATTCTCTATTAGCCGTCCTAATATTTTAGCATTAATGTAAGTGAACTCAATTTCTAATAATTCAATAGTATTATGATAAACTTACCGTTAATATTATGACTTTAGCAAAATCTCCCAAATTCTATCAAGCTAATAAATGTCATAACAACTTTAATAATTTTCAAAACCACTTCAATAACATGAAAATATTCAGTTGAGTCAATGAACAAGATTAGCGTGGTTATAAGGCAACCTAATTCGACCGCAATTTGATAATACTCTATAGTTAAAATCACCCAGAGAATAATAAATGCATTCAATTCAGATGGATACGATAATCTTGCACAAAACACTATTTATGACTCAAACTGATTATGCTTGATTCGAAACTAATCATAGTCTAGATTTGACAATGAGAACAAATCCCGAAAAACAAAGTATGCATTCAATTCACATGAATATATTAACCTTACATAGCCATTATTTGATATGAATCGAACTGATTAGACCTAATTCGAACCCGACCAAAGTCTTTTTGAGGTTTCTATATGAATCGATACATTAACCCCCATATAATTACATAATAATCTGAACCGATTTGACCCGACCTGATCCAAAACCGACAACAGTCTTGATTTGATCTCAAGAGCAAAGCCCAGTATAAGTACGAAACAAACAATAGAAAAGCCCAACATGGTCTCCCCAATAAGAATCCAGACATCGCAGATTTATTAATCTGAAATCTGACTCCTCCACCTACAAAAAGGGGATCCTTTGCTTCTGTCATCTCTTTTGAAAACCCTAATTAAATCCCAAATCTCTCTCCTCCACCCACTCTAAACCCTAATTCTATCCATCATCAATGGCGAAGAAGCGAAAGCTCGCAGCTAAATCAGCCGAAGCTGCAACTTCTACGCCGCAGAAGAAGCAGCAGAAGAAGGAGCAAATCGAGGAAGAAGCACCAGCGGAGGAAGAAACACCCAAGGTAGAAGAACAACGACCGCAGCAAGTAGAGGAACAATCGAAGCCTGTTGAAGAGGAAGAGGAGGAGGAAGAAGAAGTAGAAGAAGCGGAATTCGAGGAAGAAGAGGTGGAAGAAGAGGAAGAAGAGGAGGAGGAAGAAGAGGAAGGTGAAGAAGAAGAGGAAGATGAACAATCGAAGGCGATTCAAGGTGATACGACGAATTCAGCTGATGATGAGCCGATTCCGATGCTTCTAGAACCTTTTACGAAGGAACAGTTGATGATGATACTCCGGGAAGCTGCGGAAGCTCACCCCGATGTGGCGTCTCGTATTCGTAAGGTTGCGGATGAAGATACCGTTCATCGGAAGATCTTTGTTCATGGATTGGGGTGGGATACGACGGCGGATACGCTGAGGAGTGCGTTTTCGCAGTACGGCGATATCGAGGATTGTAAGGCGGTCACCGATAAGATCTCCGGGAAGTCGAAAGGGTACGGGTTTATATTGTTTAAGTCGAGGAGCGGGGCACGAAAGGCGCTTGAGATGCCGCAGAAGAGGATTGGCGGGAGGATGACGGCGTGTCAGCTGGCGGCAGTGGGGCCGGTGCCTACGACTACGGCTGCTGCAGTGGTGCAGCCGCAGCAGCCGATGTCGGAGTATACACAGAGGAAGATTTATGTGAGTAATGTGTCTGCTGATATTGATCCGCAGAAGCTGACTGCGTATTTTGCCAAGTTTGGGGAGATTGAGGAAGGGCCTTTAGGGTTAGATAAACAGACGGGGAAGCCGAAAGGGTTTGGTTTGTTCGTGTATAGGAGTGTTGAGAGTGCTAAGAAGGCTTTGGAGGAGCCTCACAAGCATTTTGAGGGGCATGTGTTGCATTGTCAGCAGGCAATTGATGGGCCGAAGCCGGGGAAGCAGCAGATGGGACATCATCAGCCTAGAGGGAAGCATTTTGGAGGAAGGGTGGATAACCCGAATTTGGCAGGAGCAATTGGTGGACCTCCGGCTACTGGGGCTGGGTTGATGGGACAATCGGTTGGTGGTGTTGGGTATAATCTGGGGCCAGCTGCTGCTGCGCCCGGATTGAATCCAGCATTAGGACAAGCTTTGACAGCTCTTTTGGCTTCGCAGGGGGCGGGGTTAGGGCTGAATAACTTGCTTGGGACACTAGGTGGTGGGATGGGGGGTGCTCCTGGTGCGGTTCATGGTGGGTATGGAGCTCAGAATGTTGGAGTAAATCCTAGTGTTTTGGGTGGTTATGGGAATCAAGGGGGATTGCAGAGCGCGTATCCAAATCAGCAGCTGGGGCAAGGAGGAGCTGGTGGGAGATCGCAGCATGGCCATATGGGTGGTGTTGCACCGTATGGCGGCCATTGAGTTATGATTGAATATTTACAGGTATACCATCTCCTTTAAACTTTAAACTTCTAGTTTCTATGAGGTCTTGAAATCTTTGATTATTCTTGGGTTTTGCGTTCAATAACGTGATGTTAAGATTTGTTTTGAATAGTTTTAGCACGCTAGGTAGCCAATTGCGTGTGAATTTTAACTCAGAGTAGTATGTATCAGTTTCATTGGTATTTGATACACTTCAATTCATCCTCAAGTTTTTGCATTTAGACTTTGCTGTGATCATAATTAACATTGAGTTAGCCCTTGTTAGGCATACCTCTGTTCCTCAAATTTTATGGAGTGTAGTTTGTGTACTCTCATGCAGCATTGTTTGTCTACATCTTTTTGAACAATCATTGTAGTTGTTTGCTTCTGTTTGAAGGTGTTATGGCATATCAGTGTAGTGTCTGTATTCTTTAGTTTGAATTAGTTGGTTTAATAGCAAATTCAGCAAACAACACAAATGATCACAATTCTGTATATAACAATCATTGTAGTTGTTTGCTTCTGTTTGAAGGTGTTATGGCATATCTGTTTAGTGTCTGTATTCTTTAGTTTGAATTAGTTGGTTTAATAGCAAATTCAGCAAACAACACAAATGATCACAATTCTGTATATAACATATAAACTTGATATTTGGGCTGTAATCGTGCCATCTTATTGGTCTGAGGCAAGAGATTGTTTGATTCTGATTGCATATACCTGTGTTTGGGGTTTGGCAGCTGTTACGCGGAGACCTGATTTGGTGTCTTTGAAACATTCATGTGAGTTATTATGCTATGATTTGCCCTAGGGTTCTATTTGTGACTGTTTTAAGCTGTTAAATTAAATGCTTTGTGAAGCACATCTGAAGTTGTCAGTTCGTCACATCAAGGGCTATGAATTTGTGCAGTGCTTCATATAGTTCTTTGTACTTTCATTGATCTAAAAAATGTTTTCTAATAACCCATAATAGTTGAGCTTGATATATCAAATAAAATTTTTCCATATTTTAGTATTTGTTAAAATTTCAAAGTACTGCCCCCCTTACAAATTTTCTTGTTCAAGTAAATGCCTTTTTCAGGCAACTGTCTTCTAAAATTTGGTTTTAATGTAAATAACTGATGTTTGTACATGAATTTAGAGGCGATTTTAAGCAATGGACCTGGTCTGTTAACGATTCTACCCCACAAAATTTTGAATTTCCAGAAGTTGTTTTTATGTTTTACTTATTCATTGTGCAGATCTCTATTAGGTGCATCAGTCTTTTAATACTCGCGTGGTGATTCTTCCCAAGTTTGAAGAGGCAAACAAGATCTTTATATGATTTCTTATCAACTTTCTGTTTCTCTTCTAGAAAGGCTGTTGTCTTTGAACGAACAAATAGTGTTGCTGGTTTTCATTTCTTCTTTTTCTTTTTACCTGTGTTCCTTTTTAAACACTGTAATATTTTAAGGTATATTTTGTCTTAAAAGCTCCAGGGATGACATTGAGTACTTTTTTTTTACAAAGTTTATGTAACTTTGAAAATTATTATGGATGTTTTACTGAGGCTGATGTTGAATCTCTATTGTCCTGTTTTACTACATTTTCTACTTTTGAATCAATTCTCTTTTTAATCTATTTTATTATTATTTTTTTAATTTGCATTCATTGACTTCTGCTTTTATTTCTCCTCTTTGCTTATTTCTGTCATTCATCAATACTTAACTAGCTTGTCTCATGTGACGAGTGTATTACAGGACATTGTCATGTCTCAATTCATGTGCAGGTAGTTGTAGGTAGTTGTTGACGCAGGAGGGCGACTCTTAGCCATTATATGTCAGAAAGGTTTAGAAGTTGTATTTTTGAGATTAAGTGCTTTAGATGTGAAATGAAGTTTTTTATTTTTTTTATTTTTTTTGGTTGTTGTAAACTTTTTCTTAATTTACTTGTTTCATTGATTGAGGAGGGGGGTGTGCAGTTGTGAATTCTTGGAATTAAAACCAATAGGGACTTTAGTCATAGAAGTTGTTGATTGTTAGTTTATTATGAATGTCTTCTGCAATGTATTTGCCCAACAAGAGATAATCCAACGGACTGTATTTCTCAAATTAGCAGTGCATGTGCATCCCATAAAGGCAAGTTTTAACTCCATAGGTATCTCTAAGTCTTTCATGTTTAGTGCTAAGTTTAAGCTGTCAATTTTCTTTTCTGATTTTTTTCTGGGAAGTTGTTAGTAATTGGCTCTGTGGTTTGAAGCTTTTAGAGTGAAGCCGTCTGTCATTGAGACTCACGTAAAAAAAAAAAAAAAATAGAGCTGTCTGTCATTGATGACTTGTCTTATGTATTTCTGTAATTCTATGTTTTCAATCAACCTCTGGCTTGCTTTCTGTGCATTAACCCTTCCCCCTCCTCTCAACCCAGAGTTTTAGCTTTTAATACAGGTTTTGTGGCAAAACTTTCTCTGAGTATCCTCTAGCTAAAGATGATTATAGGTTTGGGTTATTTGATAAAATGCCTTTTACTGGTCTGCCTGGTACTTTATTGGGCTCTTGTGTTGAGCTTATCCCAAAGTGCATCTACATTTTGCGCTTCTTCCATATTTCATTCCATTCATTATTTCTTTCCACTAGATAATCAAAGATGTCTCCAGGTCGTTGAACTCTAGGTGTAAATCTGACTGGGTTTGGCCAATACTTGTGAGCTAATAGTAACTACAGAACTATATATTACTCTGTCTAGGGTAAACCATGCCATTTGTGCTGCTGCAGATTTACCGTCTTTTTCATGCTCTGCTTTGTTATTCTACACTCTGTGCTACACCATATACATTGGACTTCTGTAAATAGAAAAATTTGTCTTCCGAAGATCAAATCAACCTATGCCATATAAGCCCATGATTTATTATTAGCCAGAGAACCTTGTAATAATGTGTGGATGTATTATTTGTTATACAGAGTGTCTAAATTCTGTATTCTTTAAACAGTGAGGAATGTGTAGTGCACTAGTGCATCTGCTAGGGTACCTTTACCCCTTTTCTTGTTACTCTTCCTACTGGGGTTGCTTTTTTTTTTTTTTTTTGACAATGAAATTGCGTCATTGGAGTAGTTTGATCAGAACATCACTCCTGAAACCCGTGTATGGAGGAGTTCTCTGTTAGTTTTATATGTTAGCTATGGGGCTTGATGAACTGCAGGTACACAGTTGACCAGTGTAAATGTTACCTCACAACTATTATTGTAGTTTTTTTTTTAATGTGTGGGCATTGGTATTTGCATGACTAGAACTAGGGTTTGAAATGTTGTGGGAAACTTACATTTATCAGAGAAGTCTCACATTTTGTACCCGTTGTATTTTAGGATGCATTTTAACCAATGAGTAAATGACTATTTGTGTGCTAAAATATTGTAGTTGTTGCTTCTCTTTTGTCTAAGTTTTAGAGTGTTTGAAAGAGGTTTATGTTCCTGTTCATCGCTGAAGGGTGGTCTGGTGGACAGGACTATCGTTAAAGTAAATTTGGTGCATATTGTTTGTGTAGCTATTGGTGCATGTCCAGTGTTGTGAAGGTATAGGTTTATGTTAATATGAAGTAAGGCAGGGTGTTGTTGCTTGGCTTAATGCCCTTCTGAAGACTGAGGATACCCTCACTAGCAGATACAATGTTCTCCTGAAGAGTTGTAAAGATTAGGTCATTGATTTTGGCAAGAAATGTCGAATCACACAGATTTGTATTGGTGGCTGTTGTAAATGTTCTAGTGCTGGTGTCTATGTAATGTTGTTTTAGAGGCTACTAGGCAAATGTAATGTGCAGTCATTTTGTTACTGATTTTTCTATTGTATCTTTGATCTAGTTTCATCTGTCATGTTTAATTGTTTATCTACTCCCCTCTACTCTTCTTTCTGTAATGAATTTAGGGGTCAATAGGATATCAATTTATTAGTTAAATAGAAGTACATCTAAGTACATCAAATGAACCATATATAGGACAGATTAGGACCTCTTTTGTTTTTATTAATTATTACCCTTAAAATTCTCAATATTACCATCACCTAGATGCTAAATCATGTACTTGTTTGAAAAGTTTGGTTAATTGGCCCAGTAAATATGATGGCCAGTAAAATAACTGAAGAAAAATCTCAGCGTGTTCTACAATGTTCAGAAATTAGCTTCCTATTCCAAAAAAATTTCTCAAACAAATTACAATCAAGGACAACCATGAAGACAGACAAAATTGAAGACAAAGCCGATAGCAGAAGATGATACGGGAAGCAGATGATGAGCTGTTGTCTAATGTAATAGAACTTGCTGCTTGAAGCAGCGGAATTTTAACCCAAATGTAGCCTCTCGTGTACACAAGGTTGCTGATGAGGATGCTATCGGGGTTCATGGTGAGATAATTGTGGCAGGGTTAGGGTTTGATGTGAAGACCAGTTGGCTTCAAAGTGTAGTTTCAGAGTAACGTGAGATGGAAGAAGGTGGTGTTGATGTAGACTACTACTTTGTTGTAAGGGCTATGAATGTCCTTTTTGAGGAAGAAGGGGACATTGCAAGGAACTTGAGGTGCCACAAAAGAAGATAAAGAGGCGGAGGACGGTGTGGCTTCCTTCATCCCATTGCAGGTAGACTTATATTTGAGCTTGTTAAGCAGAAGGTTCATTTCAGGTAGGTAGATGGCAAGGAATTTGGCATTGATTGAGGGAGGTTGAGGTTGGACAATTTCGGTGTGAGCTATCAAGTCTGGCTATGTTGTGTTTCTTTGTCTACAGGGATGGTGAGACTTGAGAGTGCCATCAAGGCTAGACGTTTCGAGGACCTTGCTTTGAGTGCCTGAGATTAATCTTAGAAAATGCTTGCTTATAAAGCTCCCACCCTACCAAGTAGGACTGTTAAGAAGCCTTTGAGAATGTCATTCTCCCTTTGTTCGAAACCCCCTATCGCGGTCAAGGGAAATAGCAGGAGAGTGGCACATGGTGGCTTGACTTCGAAGGTAGCAGGCTTAGCATTACAACCAATGTGGCTAAGTTGGAGGTCGGAGGGAGGGCATAGCAGGAGGGTGCCCTTGGCTGCGTTTATGTGTTCTTCGTATTATCTTTTATCTTCTCTTCAATATGAAATGGATACTTCTTACAAAGTAATAAAAATTGAACTCAACTCAAACCTCTTTCTTGCCATTTTTTTTTTTTTTGATTCTTTCCAACTTCATCTTTAAAATCTCATTAGTTGAATTAATTGCCTTGTCATTGATCATCACACTATTATGTCCATCAACCACTTTAACACGACATTAAAGACCTCTTGTGATATCAACTAACACCACTACACGTCTACACCTATAATTATAAGTTTATAGCAACCAAAACCATTACTTTTGTCAACTAACATAACTTAATGGATAGTTTTTTCTACTCACAATTTTACTATCATCATCAACTCATTTGGTTTTTTTCACTATTTCTAATAAATTTTCTCTCTTACTTTTGACCGCTACTTTCCCTTTTCCCTCTCTTCCTCTCCAGATATATATACAGACTATCGTCTTTTTCTTTCAACAAATAAAATTGTAATTAGCGAATAATAAAAAAGACATAATGGTAGTCAGTGAGGAGGGAGGATCGAGAATGGGGAGAAAACCGATAGAAAGACAAATAAAATTATTTAAAATTATTTTTAAAATGATGGTTCATTGTTTAAGTTCATCCCAAAAAAGGCAACTAGAGCATTTTACTACTTTTAGTAGTAATAATACAATTTTGGCAGATTCCTAAGTTAAGTTATCGGCAAATAGTACAAAATTTCCTAATTTTAATGACTTTGGTGAAACAAAATAAAGCCTAAAAATAGTAAAGTACAGTACTGTTTAAGTGTTAAATTCAATTAATTTAGTGGACCACCAACGTTTATATTCACGCCCATGAATAGCCAACTCAGAAAAGCTGATATCAGATCTTTATGTTCCCATCACAAATATTTATTCCGTACACCATATATTTTATTATCGAGATTTATTATTATTTTTGCCAATTTTCCAATTTATAAAAGGATAGTGGGCAGACATTTTGGGGCATAATTAAACTTAATTCTCATTTATTGCTAACTGGTCAAATAGACTACACATTAAATAATCCTATTGGTACACATTGAGGAATTAACAAGATATTAATCTAAGGATAAAACTAAGGTTTGTATATGATATTCGACTGGTCACAAGTTTAAATCCTTAGGATGTCTTAGGATGTCTTAT